AAAAACCATGGAAGGAAAGATGAAAAGGATTAATCAAAAAGAAACAAAGAAGGGAAGGAAAAGAGGGACAGGTGGAGAGAGGAGAGGAGTGGGAGGGAAAGGATGGTGAGAGGTTAGTGTAGCTCTCCTGGGACGGCCCTCGGGGTACGTTTTTAATAAGGAGATGAGTTTCGATATGATTTACTGCTGATCCCGCAGTGAGAGCAGGAGGAGGGGAAGGAACAAAGGTTTACAGTCCCTTTGGAGGTTTGTTTCATCTGCACATCAGCCCACAATTAATGGCCATTTAGCTGTTGTTCTCCTGCTGGACACTGGTGGATTGATTCAGTAAATAAAAGTGACAGAGAGATGTCCCATGGAGGCAGACAGTGGTGGCTCTGCACCTGTTATTTGTGAATCTCGGCTTGCCAGGTCATTGACCTTTAGAAGCTGGCGAAAATTAATAAGTGGAAGCAGAAAGCCCGTTGCTTTTTTAAAATGCAGACGACCCAGCCAGCAGTGGTTGTGCTGATTTTCCACAGTAACCAACCCTGAAACATGGCCAGGGCTTTCTACCCTCTGTCCTCAGAGCAGCGGCATCTACAGGAGGGAAAGGCTGCCGGTCTAGCACCTGTCAACCTGTCAGCCTGCCTCCCCACGCGATGCAGCCAGCAGAAGTGGAGATGTGGGAAGCCTACAGTCCTAGAAAACCACACAGATCCTGCTGGCTTGGGGTTCGGGTGCTGGTTCTTCCTGCGGCAGTTGGGGGAAGTTGCAGACTTGTGGGGAGCTGCCCAGCTAGACTGGGCTGGGGCTGCCGAGCAGCTGTGTTTGGCATGGCCATGGGGCTGGCAAACAGCTGCAGTGAGTAACCGATCATTTGCAAATAGTTAATGACAGATTTGTCCTTTGCTTTCACTGCCATCAGAGGGGAGTAAAATAAAAGGGAGGGAAGGCAGGCCAGGGCAGGGGGGTGTTTATGGCTGCTGCCACTGTGGCTGCTGTTGTTACTGTGGTTGTTTTGAAAGTGATAGGAAGGTCAACTGAAGTTAACAGGGTTTGATTCTTTCTGGGCAAGCTGCTGCCCAACTGAGTACGTCCGTGGCCACAGGCTGGCCACAGTGGCAGAGGAAAAGCAAGACCCGCAAGGCCAATAAGAGGCTATCCTAGCGTTAGCCTGATGTGCCAAAGAAAAGCAAACTAGAATTTTCTGTCGTTTTATTTGCTGATTTTGAAAAGCTCTCTCTGTCCCATCATTTTTTTTGGATTCTGACATGTTGCTATTTATTTCTCCGTGAATAAGCATTCATCCACAAGCATAATTAGCCTCTGTCTGCCTTATAGAAGAGGAACAGTGTGGATCTGGTTAAGTGAGTTACTGAGCATTGGTCCATGCTGGGTTGTTATTTGAGGGATTATAAAGGACACCTGCCCTAATATGCCCTAAATAGAACTGCACCATTAGCAACGCATCCAGCTGAGTTAAGACAGTTCCGTTGTAAAGAGTCTTCCTCTAAATGGCTAATTCTATGGGAACACAACTCACTCATTTTACTGTTGAGCAACAAACCCATCAGTTTAGAAACACAGGGTTTCCAAACACTGCGTCTGGGCGGGGGAGGAGGGGAGGGAGGGGCCACTCGTGACTCCACCGCGGTCAGAGCTATGGCCAGCCGACTTTGTGAGACCTCTTTGGCTTTGCGCTTCGCCTGTACACTTGCCTCACACTTCTAACTGGTCTCAAGCCTTCCTCCATTACAACTTCGCCGTCTTCTACCAGAGATCCAAAGAACCTTACAGTCAAAGCCTGACAACACCTCAAACCCTCTGGCTGCTGTCTCAGGCACATCGTATGGGCATTGCAGACTTTGGCCTGCACTCTGGAACCTCCATTCACATCTCTGAGAGCTGTCTCCTCCCTGCTGCAGAGTACACGTCCTGCCCCACCCAGCTGTCTTCCTTGATTTGCTGTCCCATAGATTTGACCTCACTCGTGGGGTTTGATTCCAGAGTCCTTTCTACACAGCTGACACCTTCTCAGTGCCCCTTGCTAGGAGTTTGCTCAGCCACCCTCTTTGCTAGGAGTAGGGTTCTCCTTGCAATGATGGTCAGAAATTCTGACTAGTTCTCTGGGTATTCCCCTATTTGCAGACTATTACCATAGTAAGTGGGTTCTATAAATCCCATAGAAGGAAATATATATATATATATATATACCCTTAAAAGTAGTTGTGAGATTCTGTCTTGCTGGTTCAGTGACACCAGATGGTTTATAGAACCCCAGAGTAAATATATGTATGTATATACATATAGTGTGTATATATATATAGCATATTATATATATTAATGTATGAAAGTTTAACAAAATTGCTACTAGAATAAAGAACATTGATTCATCTGAGAAGAAGAAAGCAGTAAAAAAGCCAGAACTAACAGTGCTACAGTTGAACCTGAGTGACATGACCAGAAACCAAGGCCTTCAGGAGGACCATGTGGCTTGTAAGAGGGCATAAGAAGCAAGGCACATGCTGAGATAGCACATGGAAGAGAACTCAGAGCATCTTCTTAAACGTGTATCGATTAGCATATAAATATATCATCTTGCTGTCCTCTCATTTCGCCCTCTCCTCCCAGTCTTCTCCCAGGCCTGGTCCCTCTGGATGCCCTACTCTCTTCCCTGTGACCATCTTCCCCCTTCTGCCTTTGCATCATACTTATTTTACTACTAAAGTCATTTTAATTACAGGTTTGCAGTTATTTTCCCTTTTATTTTTGTCAGAAACAAATGAGCACACACATATTCCATATTGTATTAGAATATGATCTTTTGTGACACTGGGATGACTGGAAATTCATTCTTCCTTCATGAAGTTTAAGAGGCAATAGACTCTGTGATAGCCTCCATGTTCCTTTCTAAGTTCTTCAGCCTCCAGTTTCCAGGCTTCTCTAAAGCTGTTATCAACCAACAATCTGAATAAAGACAGGCTCATAAAAACTCTCCCCAGACAAAAGAATAGGTCGGTTTCATGGCCTGTGGACAGCTCAAGTGCACTGACCACCCTGAAGTGCCCTTAAAAGTAGTTGTGAGATTCTGTCTTGCTAGTTCAGTAATGCCAGATGGTTTATAGAACCCCAGAGTAAGAAGCATCTCTGAGCCTCGGGGTCCAGTGCCTGGCCATCATTTAGGAACTCAAGAAAATGCATGGATAAAAAGTAGACTTTTAAAATTCAAGTCAATTAAAGGCTGAATTCATAAGAAATCAGAGGCGTTGAATACTAATTATATGTGATATGTTCAGTGTAAAAAGTTCTTTAGTGTCACCATGACTACAGCAACAGAGATATGCCACTGTCACCACAGCTAGAGCAAAACAGAAATTCTTCCTACAGCATGTGCACCTTATTTATATCCGGATTTCCTTGGCGTAAGGGACATCCGGTACTGCTGGCTGGACAAGAACAATATTTTGAAGTCCTTATCAACCTGGAAGGTACCTGAGCTGTCAACATGGAAGGCTGACACACTGGGGTAATGTGTAGTGTATTATAGAAACAGAAGACAGTCTCAACTAAAGTGGTAAATGGGCAGTTCCAGTGTTTCTGCCTCCAGTGATTTCACATGACAGAGACCACTGCAGGTATGTCTGTGGAGGGGGTATTTCTCAATAAGCCAGAGGACAATTTCAACTGTTGTTCTCTGGGTATCATACACCTTCTATTTTAAGACACAGTCTCTCACTGGTATGGAACTACCTTCTGAGAGTGGAATGGCTTCTCAGGAAACTCAAGGGTTCCTTAAGCTTTTGCATCCCAAGCACTAGGATTGCAGGAATGAGCTACCACCTCTAGATTTAGTTTCACGGTTTCTGAGTTTCAGATGTAGGCTTTCATGCTTGTGTATATGGCGAAAGCCATTACTGATTAAGCGATCTCTCCATCCCTGGGGAGGCTATTTCTAACAATCATAATGCTGATGCCCTTGTTGGTTCTCTTGGTTCAGAACTCTGTGCGGTGAGACTCGGGGACTTTCATAGGTTTTTCCCAATTTGAGAAAGTAATCACCAGGTCTTGCAATGACCAAACTCTCTAGAAGGATACAAATATGTTTCCATAGCCAACCAATTCATAATGGCAGAGGACTTCTCTTACACTGTCCACACAAAATGCAGCAGACAATGTCAGAAAACTTAAGAAGATACTGGGCTTCTATAAAGATTTCTGCTCACACACTTTCAAAAGAGACCTGCATGTCTCAAGTTTAAAGAAGAACGATCTTCTGTCTGCCATGGACTACAATTTTCTAGGCTCCTGCTCTTGATTCAGCAGACTGCTAATGTTGCTGGCTCTGCCACTTGCTCATTCATATTTCCTTCCAGTGCAGTCTCTTCCACAGGCAAAAGTTTTTGAAAACAAGATAGACATTGTTTTGTAAATTTGTTTCTCTCTTCTTCGTTACAGAAAGCTTGGTCAGTAGCTCAGCTCAGGACTCTCAATGTGTGATTATTTTTCCCTGCTATAGAAAACTGTGGAACAGCTTGTTGGGCAGTTTGCATCCTTGAATTTGCCTCTAGGGGGTAGGACATTAAGGAAGCATTTGATCAAGATAGCTGACACATAACTAGGGAGACTGTTTCCAAGAAGGCTTCACTGCAGGGTTTCTTATTAGGATGATTCTGGACAATGGGTCAATTATTTCTGTCTCTGATACTGGAGCCAGTGGTGGGGTAGATCAAAGGGTTATAAGAGAGGTTAATGACCTAAATAAGTTCAACAAATAAAGGGAAATAATATTTACTACACACAATATGTTGCCAACCCCTAAGAGCCATTTTAAGAACAGTTCACAGAGTCAACACTGTAGGGCTACACTGAAGAAAGGTTGGGCAATTTTATATTGAGTAATTGTGTTTATACATCATGACAGGCTTGGGATGGAAGCCAAGAGCTTCAAAGATCAACAGTTACACTGACCTCACCACCTCGGACAGAGTTTTACTGTTCTGTTGATCAGTGTAGGGAGCTTAGTGGCCATGCAGGCTTGTCTAGCATCTGCATTCATCTCTTCTCATTAGCTGGGCTTCTTCCTGAGACTGAAGTCTGAGAACTTGAATTGTATATGCTGCCTGTCTGTCCTGCTGATATGGATGGTGGGGAATGGCAAGCTTCACATGAGAGATGGAGAATCTTTCTAGTTTGGCTTGATGGGTTTTTGTTTCTGGATGGATCACAGAGCCAGCCTTATAACTAAGGTAAGATCGATTCCTATCCTCATTTGCTATCTATTGCTTGTATAAACTCCATGACCAAAAACAACCTGGAGAGGAAAATATTTAGTCCATCTTACAGTTTATGAATCTGTCATGATGGCAAGTCTGGGTAGGAGCCTGGAGGCAGGGACAACACCAGACACCAGAGAGGAATGTAGTTTACTGGCAAGCTCATCATGGCTTGCTAAGTCTCTTTCTCATATAAACTAGGATGCCCTGAGATGGAACTGTGCATAAAGGGCTGGGCCTTCCTATATCAATCATTAATTAAGAAATTTCTTTCAAAGTTTTGGGTATAGGCCAATTTTACAGAAGCAATTCCTCAGTTCATGTCCCCTCTTCCCAGATGACTCTACTTTGTGCCAATTTGGTTTTAAAAAGAAAAAGAACCACTACATACTTTAAATAGAAGTCTAGAACACTATTTTTCATAAGAATGAGGTAGAAAGATTTCTGTAATGTGATACAATGAGATGAATCACTTGCTAGGATTATACTGAGGTACAAGGAGAAACATGGGACAGCAAGAGGAAAAAGTAAAAGACACAGAGAGAAATAAAGAATGAATGAAAATCAGAAGTGAGAGGAGAGAGAACAAGAAATAGTGAAAAGAGAGAAAGAATTAGGTTCAGGATGAGGGGCAGTTTGACAGAAGATGCTCTTCAACAGAATAATCATTTTACAGACATCAGAAGATTGGCTAAAAGGAGATTGCCACTGCTTTCATCAAGCAATAAGGACTCATGATTCAAGTTATAGCATACAGTGTTCTTAGAAAGACTACAGCCAGGAAGATGAGGGACTCCATCTCTTTTTCAATGCTTTCAACACAGGGGCACTGCCCCTTCTAGTGTCATCAGAGCACTGATAGGGTTTCTTTCAAGAAGCCCTTATCATGACAACATTTCAACTTTTTAGAAGGTGATTTGATGACTTAAGAGATAGATTAATAGTTAAGAACACACACACACACACACACACACTACTCTTGTAGAGGATACAAGTTCTATTTCTGGCACCCATATAGAATAGCTCACAATCATTTGTAACTCTAGCTCCAGTAGACCCAATGTACTCTTCTGCACTCACATAGACAACCTCTTTCCTACCCCTAATACACATATGTGCACATAATTGAAAATATAATAAAATAGTAACAATACAGTAAGAAGCAACTGTATTTTCATTGCCTATATCTTAAGATTATAATGATCTGAGCCTTCTTATTTGTAACCGTCCCCTCTGTAAAAGGTAGAAAAAAATACAGAGGTTCAGGACTTAGGATAGCTTGGCTTAGGATTTTATGAATTTGTTATTCTTTGACAGCCCTCAGGAGAAGCAGTACTTCCTGCTTTGAATCCCTACTTTATTCCTGGCTGCCATTTCTATGAGGTTGGTCAAGCCAGAGAGTGAGAGTTCCCAACTGGACATAGTCCACGAGTTACACTGGATAATATCTCATGCTTAGGGGTGTTCAGTGTGTTTTCACCTTAAGATATTTTCAGATTCCTAAGGGTTAATTAGGATGAAGCCTTCCCCTGTGTCAGACAGCATCTACATCTATTAGAAGCTTTGAGCACCTTGGATGTATTCATGTATGTGGAATATGTTCAGGGTCGCTTTTGATATGAGGTAAAGAAAATTATAGCACTAGCATTATAACTAAACTGCTGAAAAGGGTAAAACCAGTTAAATATAACAGAGAAAACTATTCTCCACATTTTACATTTGTAAGTGGGACCTCTTTCAAAAAGCAGCTCAAACAAAACCCCAACTTATTTCCAGAATACATTTTATTTGTCCATTTGCTATACATAATTAAGATTTGGCAGGAATCCAGAGTATTTTTTAACTATTTTCTCTTCAAAGCTAGACCTTCCCAATATTTAAGATTTATTTACCATGTAATGGAGAGTCAGAGTCATGGTGCCTTGTGTGTGCAGGAATGTCAAAACAATGCCCTCCAGCTTCAATAAACCATAACTAGGACAGAAGTTAAATCATACAGGTAAGATATCCAGACTTCTAGGAACACTTCACAAGTAGCCACCCATTTATAAGCACTGTGAAATCCTCCATGGTGACCACTGTTTTATACATATGCATACACAGTTTAAGAAGAGATGTAGAAATCAGATTGTGGTGAATTTGACTGTCCTTGTAGGACACTCTGGCCTCATCTCATCTGATAATAACTTCAGACCCAGCACAATAAAGTTTTATAGATGACAGCACTGCACCTTAGCCAACAATGCCCTCCACTAAACAAGCTTTGGCCTGGTCCCTTCTCTAAAGTTCAGGCCACTCCTCTTGACCACCGACCCACATTACAGCGATTTATGATTATTTGATTTCGATGGTCATGCTTGGTTTCATGTCACTTTGTGCCTTTGTTTTCCCTAGAGAGCCTGTAAATTATAAAATGGGGGACTCTCCCACATATGACAGATGTCCTCATTCCTGGTGACAAGCTCTGAGAACAGCCACAGGCAGAAATAATTCCTTTAATTTGCAAAGAAGGTGTCGTGGCTTTGCTAAATCTCACTGTTTCCTTATTTAAAGGCTAGCATCCTCACTGCTGATTGGTAAAAATCTTTCTACAATATTAGGAAAAAAATCAGCACAAAACTCTTGTGATATGCATAGCTTAATGTAATAGTAATTTCCTTCTAGATTTCAGTATCCTACAACCAAGCAAAGAATCTAGGGTTGCAAAACAACACACACACACACACATATACACACACACACACATACACACACACACACAAAACCTCCAAAACTGCTTTTCCAGATTTATATATAGAAATTCCAAGTGCATAAACAGAATGCCTTCTACAGGAGCAATGATACTTGTGATTTCTGTTGAAATTCCATCTTTGCTTCTCACATTTAGGTTAATCTATGATCTTAAAAACAACTGCAAACGGAAAAATCACAACAGTTCTTCTGAGAGAACACAGTTGTGCTGGTAGCACTTAAAGCAGAAGAATCACATACACCACACACACACACACACACACACACACACACACACACCTTTGTTGGCATGTCATAGCAAGATGACTTATTCTCTGAAAACAATTTCTATAAACCTTAAAACTTTGCATTCCTAAGTAACTCTTGTGAAACCAGTTCGTTGAACTAATACTCAAGCTAAATGTTTGAAGTAAGATGATCCTGTCAACAAATGGAAAACTAAATCAAGAATATTACTTATATAAATTTCAAATCTTCCTCTCCCAAGTGACATGCATGCATGCCCTGGTCTTTCTCTTAAGTGCATTTCTATGTTAGTTTTTACACTACATGATGCTAAAATTTTTTTATGAATTTCAACTTACCTTTAGGGAAAAAATATATGCTGTTGTGGTTTTAATGTGAGCTCTTCCCTATAGGAAGATTATTTGTTCTCCAGATGGTGGTGATGTTTGGGAACAATTGTCCTCAAAGCATTAGGTAGTGAAGCTTTATTGGAAGAAGTCGTTCACTTGGGTGGAGCTGGAGGATATACAGCCTAGCCACACTTCCTGCTTACTCTCGGCTTCACGAGTGTAGATGGAGTGCGAGCAATTAATTGTTCCTGATCCTGCAACCACACCTTCCTTGTCTCTGTCCTTATCTTCTGCTCCATGATGACCTGTTTGCTTCTAGGTTAGTAAGCCAAACTGAACCTTTTTAAATGTTATTTCTCCTGTCACGACATTCAATGCAGTGTTCAGACTGTAGCTAAGATAGTTTTCTTTCAACATTTTCCATAATTTGACATTTTACAGAGTTAACTATTTTACATTGAAGTTGCTCATAATCCTGGCATTTCATCCCCAGTGAGCTGCTATCCACTGCACTAAACAAGTTTTACAGATCAGATCAAGGTGCGTAAATAGGAAAGAGTTGAACAGAAAACAATGTTCTCTGGTGCTTTTACACTTCCCAATAATGTGACTAACAATATCTTAGAGGAAAATACATGATCATAAAGATGTCTGCATATTATTTCTGACTGTGTTAACTGCTTACTTTACTAAAAATGAAGAGTGTAAGTCTCGGAACCTTCATTTATCTGTGTTCAGACTGAAGTATGGGAACTTAAAATGATTACTTTTCACATTATAATTACAATGTGTTTTAGAAACATAGAAGAATTTACAAAACCATATCATAGCCAAACATTTTTCATACATAATTTTGCATGTATGTATGTCTATGTTGTTGTGTATGTTCTTGTGAGTGCAGTTGCCCAAGGAGACCAGAAGAGGTCATGAGGTCTCCTGGAGCTGGAGTTATAGGTTATTATAAGGCAGGTGCAAGTAATTGAATTCAGGTCCCCTGTAAGAAAATGAAACTCATTTAACTGCTGAGAAAATCTATCCAGTCCCCTTTTTTATATATACTTAATAAGCACAAATATTTTGTCATATTTCCTTCAAGTGCTTACGTTAAGATATAATTTTAAAACCATACAATCATTTAAGTGTATTTTACAACTCAGGAATATTTAGTAAGTTATGAAACGTACATCACTCTCAAAACATCCATGGCTTATCATTTTCTGACAAGCTTGTTTCTAGATAAACATTTCTTGGGTCCTTACAAGGGAAATGTACTACATTGTGTCAAATTCGTTCATATTTTCTAATTCTCCTTTGCTTTTTATTGGTGTATTCCTTTCTTAGACACTAGTTCATTTAATCCAAATTATGAGATCTTCTTGACCCCGAATCTTCTTCCAACCTTCTGGGTTTCCATTGGGTCTAAAATGAGGTAGTTGCTTTCATTCTGAGTCCACTCAGTTAAATCTTCTTTTACTGATCTCATCTACACAGTTAAATTGGCAGTGACTTTGTCCATCTTCTCAAAGAGGTAACACTTAAAGCCATTGGTGTTTTTTTTTCTGACACCATTACAGGCAGAATATCATGTAAAAATATGTCCTGGTTTGGTTTTTTATTATCCCTTTTGATAGTGGAATTTCCCCTCAC